CAGGAATAATCAAGCATGGGGTGCCATCGCTGACATGACATCATAAGCTCCCAAAGACCCACACAAGCCATATGCTTATTCCTGGCCTACTTGCTTCTCAGGCACCAGGGTCCTCCCAGCATCTAGCACACGCCGTGTTTGCTCTCGGCCTGTCAGCTACCCAGGCACCACTGGCATCGCAGGAACATTCACCTGCCATGGGCCTGCTCGTGGCCTATCAGATCTTCAGCTGACAGTGACCTCATAAGCACAGATGATCTATTGGAAGGATGTCAGTGTCCCTGTCCATGATGGGCGGTGGCTGCTCATGTTCAGCTGGCTGTTGACCAACATCCCCAGGTGCTTTTCTTCTGGACAGCTTTCCAGCCACTCTTCCCCAAGCCTATATTACTTCATGGGCTTGTTATGATCCAAGTGCAGAAGCATTGTTGAATGTCATGTGATTGGACTCAGTCCATCAATCTAGCCTTTCCACATCCCTCTGCAAAGCTTTCCTACCCTCAAGCAGACCAACTGTCCCACCTAAATTCTTGTCATCTGCAAATTACTGAGGGTGTACTTGATCCTCTCATTTAGATTGTAGATCTAAATATTAAATAAAACTGGACCCAATCCCAAGCCCTGGGGAATGTCACTGATGACTAAACTGGATATCTGGACAACTGACACCAACTGGACTGAACTCCCTTCACTCCCTCACTCTTTGAGCATGGCCATTTAGAAAGTTCTTCAACCAGCAAACTGTACACTTGTCCAAGCCATGAGCGGCCAGACGGGTTGTCATCCTGCAGGGCTACTTCTGGTGAGGCTGAGTGCATACTAAGATGTAGCTCCTTCTTTTATGCTTTTTCTAATGCCCTGTTCTCAGTCCTTTCAAATCAACTAAGCATGAATCTGGTGCTTGTGATGAGCTGGTGCTCAGGTCGTGTTCCAGTTACTTGCTATATCATGTATCATTGTCGTTGAGTTTGTACAGCACTGGCATTCTCGCACTCCCTTTTATCTCTGTTTGCTTGAGTCTGTGGTGTCAATGGTAGTTCAGGAAGACTGGGAGGGGAGTGGCTTCAGGGGAAGCACGAGGTTGCTTCTGTCACAGTGGGACTTTGGTCTGCCTGCACAGTTCAGTGGCTCAAGCTGTGACACAGCCAGGAGTTCCACACTTATAGGGAATCCCAAAGGTAGTTCCTTCCTGAAGGGCGATGCCATCCTGAGTCCTGTCCTTGCCAGTGCAGCATCTATCAAAGGGTCAATACATGTTTGTCCTCAGAAGAAAGGCCCCATCACAAAGGGCTACCTAGAGCTGGGCTCCTCTCCACAGTTTTGACCTGGAGTCTTCTCCTGCAGGGCCTCTCCCTGGACTGCATCCTCCTTCAGTCCATCCTCCTTCCACATCCACCTGCTCCCACATGGGGTCTTCCATCAGTTGCCATGTGGAGATCTGCTCCAACATGGTGCACCATGGGCTGCAGGGAAAATTCTGCTCCACCACCTGGAGCACTTCCACACCCTATTTCTTCACTGACCTTGGTGTCTGCAGGGTTGTTTCTCTCAGCTTCATGAGGCCAAACTGCTTCAGTTAAGTGACTAAACCAAAAGAATGCAGGATATGGGGATTAGGTGTTCAGGTTAGGGTTTAGGGATTAGATCTTGCCTTCCAGGGTTAGTGGTTGGGCAGAGTATTAGAGGGAGGCCTGTTTACTTCTTTGGATTCTAGTCTGTGTCTAGTGTAGAGATTATGTTATGTTATCTGTTGGGATTTTCTTCAGGGCTCTGTTGAGGAATCATGTTAAGGCTGGAATTCAATGACAGGGATGAAAGGCTGAGGAATAGCATGAGAACTGAGCTAAGAGTGTATGGTAAGGCCTTATGGATTTGGGACTTGGCTAACCCATGCCAGGTGAGGTTTGAGGTTGGGGTAAGAGTAGTGGATTCCTTGCAGAGAGAGGGATAGCATTTAGATGTAGGGGTAAGTAGGGCTTACAGTTACTGCTTCAAAATACTGCCAGGGATTGACGTGGATGTTTTCCTAGTAAGTCTTGCAGCAGCACATCCTTGCCTGAACCCCTCTCACCTCTTCCAGATCTTTCCTTGCTGTTAGCCAAGTCCCTCTTCTCTCCCCCAAATCTCCCACCTTTATTCTCTCAGCTTTCCCCTGGCCTCCCCAAAGGAGTCACCCTGTTGGGGGCAGCTTTCTGATGGCCTTTATGACCTCAGAGGCTCTGCCTCCCTGCTGTTGTCCAGCCAGCTTCTGGGACAAAAGTTACCTCACAGCCAGCATCCACAGGGCTACAAGGAGGTGTGCTCAGCAGGCCTCTTTCCAGCCCATCCAGGAATAGCCGGTGTAGGGGATGCCCTGCACAATCCCTCAGGTACCCTGTGGGCCGAGCAGCTCATGCTTCAGAACACCTGCCACATGTCTGGACTCACAATTCCCTGGGAGTTCTTCAGCTCCTTCAGGGCATCCTGAAGGAAATGACCAAGTCAATATGCAAAAAAATTATCAAGTACTGAGTGCACATGTTAGGGAAGTGTTCAAAACTCTCTGTGGTAGGTGAGAAAGTCTTCATGTCTAGATTTGTTTCATTCAAGTGCATTCCCAGGGCACAATGCCATTAAAAGGAAGGTGACCTTGAGTCACATTCTGTCCCACAGTATATTCCTAGGGAATATCTTATGGAACTTCTGCTCACTGGTAGTCATCTCTCCATGCCCACATCTTGTGCACTGTCATATGGAGAATAAAGACATGGACTCCTGATACATTAATTTGATATCCCTCAGAGGAGGAAATATCAACCACTTGTGTGAGCTGTGGCAAGAGCCCAGTATGAGAATGGTGGTTGCAAGGAGCTGTTGTACTGGGTCTAGCTGGAATGTTAACTTTCCCGGCAGCAACCCATACAGTGCCGTACTCTGTACTTGTAGCTGGAACAGCAGTGTTATCACACCAGTGTTGTGTCTGCTGCTGAGCAGCAGTGGCACAGTATTGGGCCTTTCTCTAACCCTCCTAGGGGATGGGCAAAAAGTGAGGAGAGAAACATCACTAGGGCAGCTGACCTAAACCAATCAAAGGGATATTCCATACCATGTGATGTCACACTCAGCAATAAAAGGTGGAAACAGGAAGAAGAGGGGAGGGGTGGGCTCTTATTGAGAAGACGTCGGTCCTCCTCTCAACACCGGCTGCGTGCGTTGAGGCCTTGCTTCAAGGATGTGGTCAATCGTTCATTTGTGGGAAGTAGAGAGTAATTTCTTTCCTCTGCACTTCCATATAGCTTTCATTTATTTTGTTTGTTTGTTTTCCTCCCTTCTTTTTATTTTCCCTTTTCCCCTCCCTTTTCCCCTTTCCCTTTTTATTTCCCCTTAGTTAAATTGTTTAGTTCATGGTAGTCTTTATTTAATTATTATAATTATTTCCCTTTAATTAAATTATCCTTATCTAAACCTGTGAGTTGTTCTTTGCTTTACTTCTCCCCCTCCTCATCTAAAGGAGGGGGAGTGAGAGAGCGGTTGTGGGGTTTAGCTGCCCAGCACGGTAAAACCACCACAGCTGTTCTAGGACCATTGCCCTGAGGCAGCATTTTCCAGAGTGTCCAGAGAACAGTGGTCCATCCCCTGCTCTGCTGGTCCTCCCTGTCTCACCCAGGAGGCCAGCTCAGCCCAGACCCTCCCAAGCTCTCCACACCTCCATCTCCTATCCCCAACGCAGTCCAGCCCAGAAGAACAGCCCATGCTGGGCAGACCCCAAAGCATCAAATGGAGAAGTGGAGGGCAGTAGCAGTATCTCTGCTGCTGCCATCTGCAGGAGATTCCCCTCCCACAGGCATCCTGCAGCCCCCCAGGCCAGCCCCAGTCCTCAGCACAGCACAGCACCACACTGCTGGCCCTGGGGCTCCTCAGGCAGCACCACTGCAAACACACAGCACCCTGCTCTTCTCCCAGGACACCCCATGTCTCACACAGCCTTGCCCCAGCCCAGCACGTCTGGGATGGTCTGAGCAGCCATTCCTGCAGCCCCTGCCCATGCTGCCCATAGCCCCCCAGCTGGTGGTGCTGCTCTGTAGAGCAAGGTGGCTGTGGTGCACAGGGCCGTGAGGGCACTCTGCGGGGCTGTGCTGGCCAGGCAGGGAGGCAGAGCCAGCTGGTGGGGGGCACTGGCACTGACTGCCTCCCACACAAGTGGTTCCTTGGCCATGGATAGCCGACACAGATAGCCAGACTTCTTCAGAGTCAGAGACGCATGGAATAGCCTGAGCTGGAAGGGAACCACAAGGATCATCGAGTCCAACTCACTTCCAATGTCAGGATATGTTTTGGGGTGATTCACTGTATTCAGTCTATGAAATTTCACCAGAGGTATAACAATCAATTCAACAGAGAGCTTTCCCTATGCCTGCAGTGTTCCCTGGAGTTGCAGAGCTCTGCTTTTCCCACCCAGATTTAGCACCTCAGGGTGGCTCCACCTGGGACGTGCCCGTGCTCTATGGCCTCCATGTGCTATTGACTCCTGGGCACACACTGTCACTGCCGAGTGCTTGGGCTCTCCTGGCAGTTCCCTCTTTCCTCCTGAAAGAAGCCTGTCTGCCATTATCCCTCTCAACCACTGTGCACAGAGGCAGGAGAATTCACTGTCTCTGTGGGTGCTGTCCAAGAACAGGGAACAATCACAGGTTCAGCCTGGCAATGCTGCTGTGGCAGGACCCTTCTCCCCTCCACCTCTGCACTCTGCCATGTGTCCCTGAAGCTCCACCACAGGTCTACAAGGAAGGGTATCAGGCAAGTAAGTCACTGCATTTTCCTTCATTTTATTAAAACACACAGAAAGCCTGACCCACAATTTATACGAAGACTTGGAGTCACATGAGACAGGTACATACAGTGTAGGAAGGTATGAACAATGATATTTCTTTGTGGGGAACACTATGAGAAGTAAAGCAAAGTAAAAAAGAAAAAAAAAAAAAAAGAAAAAAAAAGATTTCTGGGTCTGTATACAGATAACATTAAGAACACAGGCAGTTTATTCCTTCTGAAAAACCTCCATTCATCACTTTCCACATGGCTTCCTTCAGCTCCTGATTCCTCATGCTGTAGATGAGGGGGTTCACTGCTGGAGGCACCACCGAGTACAGAACTGCCAGCACAAGATTAAGGGAGGAGAAGGACATAGAGGGGGGTTTCAGGTAGGCAAAAAAAGCAGTGCTGATGAACAGGGAGACCACAGCCAGGTGAGGGAGACATGTGGAAAAAGCTTTGTGCCGGCCCTGCTGTGAGGGGATCCTCAGCACGGCCCTGAAGATCTGCATGTAAGAAAGCACAAGGAAAACAAAACACACAAAGGCTAAACACACACTAGGCACAATAAGCCCAACTTCTTTGAGGTAGGCATCTGAGCAGGAGAGCTTGAGGATCTGGGGAATTTCACAGAAGAACTGGTCCAGGACATTGCCTTGGCAGAGGGGGAGGGAAAAGGTATTGGCAGTGTGCAGCACAGCATAGAGAAAGCCACTGCCCCAGGCAGCTGCTGCCATGTTGACACAAGTTCTGCTGTCCATTATTGTCCCGTAGTGCAGGGGTTTGCAGATGGCAATGTAGCGATCATAGGCCATGATGATGAGAAGAGAAAATTCTGATGAGATGAAAAAGAAAAAGAATAAAACTTGTATAGCACATTCCGAGTAGGAGATGGTCCTGGTGTCCCACAGGGAATTGGCCATGGCTTTGGGAACAGTGGTGGAGATGGATCCCAGGTCGAGGAGGGTGAGGTTGAGGAGGAAGAAGTACATGGGGGTGTGGAGGTGGTGGTCGCAGGCTATGGCTGTGAGGATGAGGCCGTTGCCCAGGAGGGCAGCCAGGTAGATGCCCAGGAAGAGCCCAAAGTGCAGGAGCTGCAGCTCGCGTGTGTCTGCGAATGTCAGGAGGAGGAACTCTGTGGGGAAGCTGCTGTTGGACATTTGCTGCCTCAGAACATGGTTGGCTGTCCATGGAGGAAAAGACTGTGTCAACTTAGAAAAACTTCTCTGCACAAAACCTCATTTGTGTTTCACAGAAACCCTCTTCACAAGATGTACGGTCTATTCCCTATGAGGTCTGTTTCTTTCTAAGGGTGCCTAAGGGATAAGGTGGATCATCTGTGTGATCAGCATGATTCAGTACTGTGCTACGGTATGTGGTAAAGTGCATTGCACACGGATCTCAGATGCCCACAGTCCAGAGGCATGCTCTTTGAGCTTCTGCCCCTTCTAATAACCTGACAACTTTTATCATCATTATCAACCCCATCATTCACCCTCATGGCAGGCATGAAAGCAGAAAGTCCAGAGAGTGCTTTCCCTTCAGGTAGCTCCTGCCTTGGACTTCCCTGACAAGAATCTCCCCACAAAATTCCCTGGGGGTGCTGTGGAGCTCTGAAGGAGCCTTCCCCAGGCAAGAGCCTTTGGGCACCAGCAGGACCCTGCCCTACCCTGTCCTGTAAGGGGACTCCTTCCACCTACAGCTTCTCCCCATAACACCCTGGGCATCTCCCCAGGCATGCTGAGTGCTGAGCCTGGCAGGCGGCAGAGGCCCTGCCCCGGCACACAGCCCTTGGGGCATGGCAGAAACCCTGCTCTGTACCACAGCCCTGGCCACCCCTGCCTGCACCCTGGCTGCACAGCCTGCAGCTGGCCCTGTGAGAAGGAACCCTCATGTCCTGTCCCTCTGACAGTTTGGGCAGGCAAGCCCTGCTCTAGAGTTTGTCATACTCCTCTGCAGTAGAGAAACTCTGAGAGTGCTCCTGAAAAATTCCATAGGCTGTGGGACTTGCCAGCAAATCTGGAGATGGAATCAGGAACAAGAGCTGCATGGCCCTGTAGCCACACACTTACCCTGTTCAGGGCTGTGAAGATTTCTCCCGCTGTGAGCTCTCAGCATCCCCCCTCCACACTGCCTTTTACATCTCCCTCCCTTCTCTCAGCCAACCTTGTCCCCTGCAGGCAGTGCCCCCAGACCTGATGCTGTGCTGTGCAGAGGAGCTGCTCCTGGGCAGAGCTGTCTCTCTGCAGTGCTGCCCGCTTGCCAGGAGCTCCCCTTGGGCCCATGAGCCCTGCCCAGCTCAGCAGCACAGGGAGCTCTTGCCAAGTCCCTGGGCCTCCAGGGGAATCAACTTTGAAAAACACTAAAGTAATCATTTATGTTCCTTCCCTCCATTGTAGAGGGAGCACTGTCCTTTTTCATTTCAGAATAGGTATGATGTCCAAGGATCACCTTTCCATGTCCTGGTTTTGGGCAGGACACCCACCCAAGGATCTCCCTCCCCCTGCTCAGGGAAGGGTTTCAGCTGAGTCAAACCAGGCATCTCATACTTTGTTTGCAGTTCAGAGGCTAGAAGGGGGCTTATCTTCCTCTCCCATGCCTCACAGATGCTCACAGGAGTTGGGATTCCTCTTGCCTTGGTTCAGGTGGGCACAAACCAGGCAGCATGTAAGCTGCTTGTCTCAGCTCCCAGCACACTGAATGCAGACAGAGGCAGGAGGGAGCTGTTCAGAGGCAGACACCAGGTGATATTGAAGATGGCAGAGTGACATCTGAGTGACATTTGAAGTGCCTAATTCCTCTGGGCCATAAACAGAGATTTTATTATTGCATGTACAATATAATATAACTGTAGCCATTGCTCAATAGCAAAGAAGTAAAAGAAATAAAAGGCATGCTGTGACCTGGTTGCCATCACTGGAACGTGGTGGGACCACTCCCATGACTGGAGTGCTGCAATGACTGGTTATGGGCTCTTCAGAAGAGACAGAACAGAAGGGGTGGTGGTGTGGCTCTCTATATTAGGGAGTGTTTTGATGTTGCAGAACTTCAATTTGGGAATGATATTGTTGAGTCCATATGGGTCAGGGTCAGAGGGAAGGCCAATAAGGCAGGCATCCTGGTGGGGATATCTTATTGACCGCCAAACCACGATGAGGAGACAGATGAGGCATTCTACAAGCAGACTTCGAGCTGTTCAGGACACTGGTTGGCAGAGTCCCTTGGGAGGCAGTTCTGAAGGGCAGAGGAGTCCAGAAAGGCCGGACTCTCTTCAAGAAGGAAATCTTCAAGGCTCAGGAGCAGACTGTCCAACCCCATGTGCCCAAAGTCCAGCCAGTATGGAAGAACAGAGAGCTGAACAGAGAGTTGTGGCTAGAGCTTAGGAAGAAAAAGAGGGTTTAGGACCTTTGGAAAAGAGGGTAGGCCACTCAGGAGGACTATAAGGATCTTAAGAGGATGTGCAGGAACAAAATTAGAAAGGCCAAAGCTCATCTGGAGCTCACTCTGGCTACTGCTGTTAAAGATAACAGAAAATGTTTTTATAAATACAGAAACACAAAAAGGAGGACTAAGGAGAATCTCCATCCTTTACTGGATGTGGGGGGAAACTTAGTGACAAGAGATGAGGAAAAGACTGAGGTGCTTAATGCCTTCTTTGCCTCAGTCTTTAGCAGCAAGACCAGTTGTTCTCTGGGTACTCATCCCCCTGATCTGGTGGAAGGGGGATGATCTGGTGGAACTAGCTGCTGTGCATCAGAGAGGCTGGGAGTCCAGCAGCAGTGCCACGGGCTGGAAGGATCACAACCAGCTCATTTCTACCTGGGCAGATTCTGGCCCAAGAAGGGAGTGCTTTATAAGTATGATATTACGAGGGTAGTGGTGCCTCAGAAACTTCAGTAAGTCCAGACAGTCCAGTAGGAAGCAAATGGCTGTTAAACAGCCTCAGAGTTGACTTCTTTCTGAAGCAGCTGACAGGTCATCCCTTGACTCCTGGCTGGGATCTGTGCCTTTAGGCTCACATCTGCTGATCTCCATGATATGCCAGCAGATGCACCTGCTTTGCACATAGTCTGTGCATAGATCCTTTCTTCCTAAGTACCTGATAGGCCAAATAGTGGAAGATGTGTTGAAGAGGTGTTGTCATATCAGAGGTTTGGCTTTTGACTCATTCATCTTTCAGGGCTGATTTCAAATTTCTACACATTGGAGGCCACTGCCTCCCAGATACCCGGGGGAACACAAAGCCTTCATGAGGCCATGGAAGACGTTACCCTGGGTCCATTGGAACCATTCTGGAACCAAAACATGTAGGCAGGAAGTGCACTTTTGTGGTGTTGCAGAGCTGCTGGGCATATTGCACAGGGTGTTCTGACAGCCTTTGTGTCCTTCTCCATGCTGCCTTAGGAGCTGCTTCTTTCTCGGGAACAGAGTAGCCAACAGATTGAGACAGATACTCTTGAGTTCATGAAAGCCATCAGAAAGCTGCCACTAAGAAGATGACTGATATGGGGAAGGCAGGAGGAGCCTGGCCAGGAGAGATGTGAGATTTGGGGGACAAAGGAATAGCTTGGATAGCAGAAGGTAACGATTTTGGAGAGGTAAGAACATTCAGGTAATGCTGATCCCACCATAAAGCTGACTTAAAGCAGTCATGTGAGGCCATTACCCTTTTTTAATCTGTTATATTAATATCCAAATCTAAATGCCACTCTACACGCTGACAGGAATCCACTGCTCTAATTTTTGACCACAATATCCCTGGAAGCCAAAATTAGTCCATCACCCCTTTCCATTACCTTTCTTCTCTAGCTCACCCTCATCCCTGCACTTAACACTAGCATTAAAATACTCTATTTAACCCTAGTCTTCTTGCAGAGTTAAACAAAACCCTCAAGCAAAGAGCTTGCCCATACCCTAACCACAGACCTGACACCACAAGCAGAACACCAAACTCCCACTAAACATCTGCTTAATCTCTCACCCAGAAAGGTTTGCCATAGTCCCTAATGCCATACATGAACAACTATCATCCAAAGCCTGTCTTCCTGTGCATTAACCTTCTCACCTTTAACCCTTATCCTAACCCTTAAGTTTAGGTTCTTGTTCTCTCGGGGCAGGGCAGGAACCATGAGATTGCTATGCAGTCACATGGCATTCAAAATGAACTTGAATGGCCATGGATTTGATCAGCTTCTAGGCCAGAAGGAGGAGATGGGTGGGAATGCTCTGATGAGCTCAGCTCTGCCTCAGGATCTCCCAAACCAGAAGGAGGAATTGGCCTGTGAAAGGGACTGTGAGGTCAGTTCTGTCTCTGCAGTTGATAGGGCAGCAGCAGGAATGTGTCACAGAAAGGGACTGTGAGGTCACTTCTGTCTGAAGCAGCGAACAGGTCACATTTCTACCCAGGAACTGTAGTTTTCAGCTGACATCTGCCAGTGGTCCTGGTAGGCCAGCAGAAGGCACCTGGTTGGCATGCTGACTATGGGATCCCCTCTGCCTACATACCCAGGAAGACCCAGACAGAAAGAAGGCCCACATATGGGTTGTCCTGTCCCTTCTGCTTGAGTCCATGACTGGACAGCAGCAGGCACAAGGCTTGGGTGTGTCTGCAGAAAAGTCTGTAAGGTCAGCAGCCGGACCATGGCTTGGAAGATCCTGGTGAGGTGACTTCTGTCTGGTTAGTTGACAAACTGCAAGAAGGATGACAGGTTGCGATGCCTACTTCAGGAGTGGTTTCCACCCTGATGGAGCTTTCTTTGGTAGTAGAAAAGAGCAGGAGAGAAAAACGTGCCAGAAAGTGCACCTTGGAAGGTTGGCACTGGCCATGAAGAAGACGAAATGTGCCTCAAAGGGTTGTGCTGTGGTTCTAGAGGTCACCAAAGAGTGTCTTTGATCAGACCATGGCTTTGTGTTTGAAGGAACAGCTGGTGAGGGTTGACGAGACATTGGTGAAATGATGGAAATGCCAGGATGAGTGCATGAGTGCAAGGTGAAGAACAGAGATGGGTGTCTTCAGCTTTCAAGGAAATAGGGCAAAGTGTGGGGCAGCATAGGAAAGTCTGGAGAGGAAAAAGAGGTGGCTGCTGTCAAAAAGAGAAGGCCCCATCAGCCCTGACATTTTTGTCCCCTTGGATAGAGCTTC